GAGTGGACCGATATATACCATTTTCAGACCAGACCTTTGGTAAATAAAAATATTGTGATGTGTGTAATTTGAAGAGAACCGGATACTTATTTCGGATTTTATGACTGTTTTGGTTATTCAAAACATCGATCCTTTGTGGGGGAAGTACCAGAAGGAATCGTACGATCTCTACCATCTTTATAACAGATCTGGTGTTGATAGAAATATTGAGATGTGCCAAGTCTGAATGGAATCTATGAGGAATTTTATGAGCTTCATGGATATTCAAAATTTTTGACCTTTGTGGGAGAGGTACCAGAAGGAGTGGACCGATATATTCCATCTTATCACCAGACCTTGAGTTAATAATAATTGGGATGTGTGAAATTTAAAGACAATCGGACACACTTACATCATATTTATTACAGTTATAATTATTCAAAATTGTGACCCTTTGCGGGGGAGGTAATTAATGTAGTGAACCGATGTTGTCAATGATCTAGCACTGATTGAAATATTAGGATTCGTAAAGTTGGAGCAAAATCGGATTATCCTTTCTCTTTCTGTGCAGTAAAATATTTTTTTTGAAAATGTTGACTTTTTGTGAGGTAGATACCAGAAACAGTGGACCGACACTGCCACAGTGGACCGACAAAAAAAACCTAGTATCTAAAACGGTTATTTCAATGAGGCACGTTTTGGCCTAGCTATATGACTGAGGGTAGAATGAGGAACTCCATACCCCTCAGATGAAGTCCTGGGACTTCATATCGGTGAAATGAAGTCCAGGGACTTCATATTGATCAGATAAAGTCCAAGGACTTCATATCGGTCAAATGACGCCCAACGACCATGTACCGGGCAGATGAAGTTAACGGACTCCATTCCGGTCAGATAAAGTCCACATAAAACCTCAGAAGTTCGCCCAAACCAAGCTTGGTTGTCTCAACAACCTGTGCGCTACTCCATGCGAATAGTTTCTTGATTTTACTGGGTTGACCGTTATATATTTATGATAGTTCGTCCTGTCCTGAACCAGTACAGAGTCTCTGCGATTGCTTGGATTTTCGCCCTGAGAACGTTAATATGGTCGGTCTGTTTATCCCCGGGTCCTACATAATGATGCTAGCCATTCTGTTACGGTTCATCTCATTGAACACTCGGACGAAATATACGGCAGCTCATTCCTACTTAGGCAGGGTTTTAAACAGCTAATCGTTAGTTTTGATATCGCATTTATTATCAGATTGAGATGAAGTTTTCCAACAATCATTTGATGGGCTTAAGGAAGCACTATATTTGGAGAAAATTTGCCCAAAATTTAGATATAGCTCCCATATATATCTTCGATCGACTTCGTATGGATAACGGTAACTCTGTATATTCGATATATTTAAGATTTTAAGAGAATTTTTATGGGATACCATTTTTTTCCTTTTGAAAACTTCCAAATGTATTCAAAGTACTGTTTATACCCTACACCACATAGTGGTAAGGGTATTATGTCTTTGTGCATTTGTTTGTAACATGGAGAAGGAAACGAGATAGACCCATAGTTACTTTTGAGAACCTTCATAGAATCACTTTCTGAGTCGATTTATGCATGTCAGTCCGTCTGTCCGTCCGTCCGTCCGTCCGTCTGTCCATGTATTCTTGTGAACAAAATGCAGGTCGCATTTATTATCCGATTGAGATGAAATTTTCCAAACAATCTTTTTTTGGCCCAAGGACGAACCCTATTGAAATTGGTGAGAATCGGATCAAATTTAGATATAGCTCCCATATATATCTTCATCCGATTTCGGGTTAAATGAGCACCAAATGTCCACTATCAGTCCAAATTACCTGAATTTTGGCACACCCAACCGAGTTCGGCCTAGAAGCAAGTATATCAAATTTCGGTTCAAATCGGTTCAGATATAGCTATAGCTCCCATATATATCTTTCATCCGATTTGATCTTTAAGTCCCTAACATTCCTACTATGCACTCCACAACCGTGATATTTGGTACCAGGTATTAGATGGAGCACAGAAATAGCTGTTTTAAATTTTATCGAAATCGGTTCAGATTTGGATATAGCTCCCATATATATCTTCATCCGATTTCGGGTTAATTGACCACCAAATGGCCAATATCAGCCCAAATGGCCCGAATTTTGGCACATATGACCGTGATTAGCCTTAAAGCAAATACAACAAATTTGGAGAAAATCGGTTCAGAAACAGCTATAGCTCCCATATATATGTTTTATCCGATTTGGTGTTTAAGCCTCTCACATTCGTAATATGCACTCCACAAGAATGATATTTGGTACCAGATATAAGAAACAGCCCAGAAATAGCTGTTTGTAATTTTATCGAAATCGGTTCAGATTTGGATATAGCTCCCATATATATCTTCATCCGATTTCGGGTTAATTGTGCACCAAGTGGCCGATATAAGTCCAAATGGACTGAATTTTAGTACATCGGACCAAATTCAGCCTAGAAGCAAGTATATCAAATTTAGTGAAAATCGGTTCAGATATAGATATAGCAACCATATATATGTTTCATCCGATTTAGTGTTTTAGTCCCATACATTCGTAATATTCACTCCACAACCGTGATATTTGGTACCAGGTATTAGATGGAGCACAGGAACAGCTGTTTTAAATTTTATCGAAATCGGTTCAGATTTGGATATAGCTCCCATATATATCTTCATCCGATTTCGGGTTAAATGTGCACTAAATGGTCAATATCAGCCCAAATCACCTGAATTTTCGTACATAAAACCGAATTCAGTCTAGAAGCTAATACGTAAAATTTGGAGAAACCCGGTTCGGAGATAGCTATAGAATTAGATAGATTTTGATTTTGTACCAAATATCTCATAGAGCTCTGAAATGCCCTGTATAAACCTTTTTACGAGAGCTCTACTAAATATTCATAGTGGTGTAGGGTATCATATAGTCGGCCCCGCCCGACTTTTGAGCTTTCCTTACTGGTTTTTATTTGTTTTTATTTTATTTATTTTTTTATTTTTATTTATTTCTTTTTTTTTTAAATTTAAATTTATTGCCACACCAAAGGTTAATTCTTATATTTATGTTTCTCAGTTTTTTTCGAGTTCGAAAAGGTATCGCGGCAATTATTTAAATTTGGTATTTTAATAATTGTTTTCATAGTTTAACAATTTATTGTGCTCCACTTAGAATTTAGGATTAATTTTCACTATCGTTACCAGCAAATTTGCAAAGTATTTTAGGTTTTTAAATTTATTTTTTATAATTTTTTTATTTATCTTTTTTTATTATATATATTTTAGTTTTTCATTTTTAAATATTTAATTTGTTTTATTTATTTATTTTTTATTCATTTATTATTTTTTACTTTATTTTTTTTAATAATTGTAGTTCAATTTATTATTTTTTTATTTTAATTTTTTTAATAATTTCTGATTTAAAATTTTAATTTGTAGCTGATCTCAATTTTTTTGGCTATCTCAATCCCTTCACATTTTTAATTTGACTGAAAATTGCTTAAAGAAATTTAAATTTTTTTCCGTAAAAAAAACGCTTGTCATTTTATCCATTTTTATTTATTTATTTTTTTTTTTTTTGGCTATCTTAATCCCTTCTCATTTTTAATTCGACTGAAAATTGCTTAAAGAGATTTAACTTTTTTTCGTAAAAAACGCTTGTAATTTTATTCACTCCAAAACCATTTTAAATTTAATGTTCTTTTTCTACACTTTTTTATCAAAAATTCAAGAACAAAAAATTTTTATTTTATAAATTGATGTTTATTTCATTTTTTTTTCTAATCTTGAGGAGAAATCTTTTATAAGGAAATCTTTACGAAATTGAAATAGAAATTTTATTTCCAAAAAAAAAAAAAAAAAACACTGATTTTTTCTCCAAAAATTTTTCATACATTTAAGTTTTTTTGTATTGAATGGTCACTCACTGCTTGTTTTATTTATTTTATTGATTTGAGAATCAAAAAGTAAGCATTTATTATTTTTTTAATAAATTCTAATTTTAAATATTATTTCAGAACTGAGCGGCGCACTTAATCCCTTCAAAATGTCTAATGGAAATGAAATTTCCCCAACGGAATTTTAGAGATTTTCTTTGTCGTAAAAAATAAAACACTTGTCATTTTATCGACATTTCACTTTCCACTTCAAAGCCATTTTGAATTTTATGTTCTTTTTTCAAAACTTTTTTTATCAAAAATTTAATTAATTTTAAATTGTTTTTCTTAAGAACAAAATAATCTTGGTTTCATAAATTAATGTTCATTTCATGTTTTTTTTTCTAATATTGAGGAATAATTTCAGAACTGAGCGGCGGTCTTAATCCCTTTAAAATTTCTAATTGAACTAAAATGTCCCCAGCGGAATTTTAGAGATTTTCTTTGTCGTAAAAAATAAAACACTTGTCATTTTATCCATTTTTTTTTCCACTTCAAAGCCATTTTAAATTTTATGTTCTTTTTTCAAAACAATTTTTTTTATCAAAAATTCAATTAAATTCTTCATTTCATAAATTTATGTTCTTTTTTCTAATCTTGAGGAAAAATCTTTTTTAAAAGCTTGAAATTGTAGCTTTATGGTAAATTTAATTTCCAAAAAAAAAAAAAAAAAAAATTACTGAATTTTATTTTTTTGAATTTTCCCATAAATTTCAAAATTTTGTTTATTGAGTGGGCTGGTCACTCATTCACTGTTTGTTTTATGTTTTTTTTTATTGATTTTGAATCAAAAAACCAGGCATTTTATTTACGAAGCTTTTAAAAAAACGCCAGCAACACGAAGCCCATCGAGATGCAGGCCGCCTGATAGGCTTAATTACATGCTTCATTTTCCAAAAAGAGCGGTCATAAATTTCAATTTGTTTCTGTTTTGTGTTTCACAAATTTGTTTCAATTCCGTGTTTGAGTTGCACTTTCATTCATCGAATGTTTTGTTTTGATTGGGTTTTTCGTTTTTTTATTTTTATTTTTATTTTTTTTTCGTAACATGGCTTCTTACATTTTTTTATTTGTTGTTGAGCGTCCGGACGTTAAAACGTCACACGTTATGGTTATTGAGTTTTATTTCGAAAAATAATCGCGCTCGTGGATTTCGAGTTGTTATTTTGATTTTTATTTCCGAACCTAATGATGCTCATTACAAGTCTCACTTTGACAAAAAGTGGTCGCTTAGTTTTTATATTTCAGCTTTATAAAGCTTTGCGCGATTACAGGCGACACTTTCGGCTTCACCACGACTAAAAATGGCCATAAAAACCACAATGTATCGATCACTGTAAAAGCGATGATGGCCTATTATACGCTTTGAGATTACGGATCACTTGCGCCACTGACGATGATGAAGAAGAAGAGTTAATAAGCTATAGCGATTTATTTGATAGCCGCGCTCGTTAGCTGGTACACGCATTTCCGATTGATGCTGGTCGCCAGCGTGACAAATTTCTTGAGCTGTGAGCTACTTGTTAGGTGTCAGTCAGGCTGCTTGTAACGCGAATGGGGGGAAAAACAATTTTTGCGCGTCACCCAGCTTTCGGCTTTGCAACATGAAACGTTTGCAATGATCTTTAAACGAATGAATGTAACCGCACGAAAAACCAACGACATGCGGACATGCTGACAGTCGGGCTGGTTGTTTGCTTGGCTGAGGTTTGACTATTTCTACGCTCTGCCTATTGCTATTGCGTTTGAGCGCGCATTGTTGACAACGTTGACGTTCATACCAATCAAATGTTGTTCTGCTAACGTTGTTCTCCATGAAGTGATTGCAACAGAAGTTGGCCTGCCGATCGCCGTCGACTTTGAGGGTTTCCAACGAAGTTATGAAAACAAGAGTTACAGCGACGCCACATTGAAGTCTCCTCCACACGTTTTCAATGACTGAGTGGTTTATGATTACAATTCCGATTGGTAATTGCTGTTAAGGCGGGAGCGTTTGTGTTCTGCTGCGCGGGGACGTTGACGTCCACTGCCCTCAATTGTCGTTGGGATTTTGTTTTGCCACAGAAACCACCGCCGCCACCACCACAACCACCACTCGTATTTTGTTTCTATTTGTTTTACTCTTCGAGTGTCTGTTTTTATACCCTCCACCATTCTATGGAGGGTATATTAGGTTTGTCATTTCATTTGTAACTCCTCGAAATATTCATAATAGACCCTAAAAAAGTATATTTATTCAGGATCAGCGTAAAATTCTAAGAAGATCTAGCGATGTCCGTCCATCTGTGGAAGTTACTCTAGCTTCCGAACGAGTTGGAGTAGATTGATAAAATTTTCCTCAAATATATATTATGTCTGCAGGACTTTTGGTATTGAAAATGGGCCATGTAAATCCACGTCTTCGTATAGTCCCCATATAACGGCACCTACCGATATTTAGTATTTTTATGATTTTAGCGTCACTATTCACCGGAATTGTTTCAAATTTGGTATTTAAAGTTCGAAATAGATACTACAGCCTAGGACAGAAAATTGTCTATGCAGGTCCAGGTCTTCGTATAGGCCTCATATATCAGTACCTTCCGATATTCGGTATTTTGGTGATTTAAGCGACATTATTCACCGGAATTGTTTCAAATTTGGTATTCGAAGTTCGTAATGGATACTACAGCCTAGAACAGAAAATTGTCTACGCAGGTCCAGGTCTTCGTATAGCCCCCATATAACTGTACCTCCATATATTCGGTATTTTGAGGATTTTAATGGCATTATTCACCAGAATTGTTTCAATTTTGGTATTTGAAGTTCATAATGGATATTACATCCTAACGCAAAAAATGAGTCATGCAGGTCCACGTCTTGGTATAGCCCCCATATAACGGTACCTCCTGATATTCGGTATGTTCATGATTTTAGCGACATTATTTACCGGAATTGTTTCAAATTTCGTATTTGAAGTTCGTAATGGATATTACATCCTAAGACAAAAAATTGTTTGTGCAGGTCCACGTCTTCGCATAGCCCCCATATAACGGTACCTTCTGATATTCGGTATTTTCACGATTTTAGCGACATTATTCACCGGAATTATTTCAAATTTGGTTTTTGAAGTTCGAAAGGGATACTACAGCCTACGACAGAAAATTGTGTGTGCAGGTCCACGTCTTCGTATAGCCCCCATATAACGGTACCTCCTGATATTCGGTATTTTCACGATTTTAGAGGCATTATTCACCGGAATTGTTTCAAATTTGGTATTTGAAGTTCGTAATGGATGCTACAGCCTATGGCAGAAAATTGTCTATGCAGGTCCAGGTCTTCGTATAGGCCCCATATGTCAGTACCTCCCTTTATTCGGTATTTTGACGATTTTAGGTACAATACACACCGAAATTGTTTGAAATTTCGTATTTGAAGTTCCTAATAGGTATTACAGCCTGTGACAGAACATTTTCAATGCAGGTCCAGGTCTTCGTATAGCCCCGAAATAACGCTACATACCTATATTCGGTATTTTAATGGTATTAGCCACATTATTCTTCGAAATTTAAGTTTCGTATTTAAATATTGTAATGGCTTATGACAAAAATTGCCTATGCAGGTCCACGTCATCGTATAGATCCCAATACAACTGCTATATTCGGTATTTTTAAGATTTTAACAGAATTTTTAATGGATTTTATTTTATTATCATTTTTTTGAAATTTGCCAAATTCGTTGCAAATGGTGGAGGGTATTCGAAGATTGGCCCAGTCGAACTTACAGCTTTTTTACTTGTTTTCTATTTGTTTTACTTTTCGAGTATCTGTTTTTTCATTCAATCGATTTGAAATGTCTTCGATTCGTTGCTTTTTTCATATTTATGTTGTGTCCAAAAGAGTTACGATGTTGCACTTCGATTTATTTCGTACAGAAGAGCGGTTTCGTTGTTTCACATGTCCGGCCATTACAGCACGCTTGACTTACAGTGGTCTGTGGTCTCTGTCCGCTCTACAACTATTGTGTCGTCCACTTTACCAATAGGGGGCATTTGTTTTGTCTGACTTCTTCGCTGTGACTAGAACTTTGAGTCTTGTTGCTACAACAATTCTCATTTAAATACTTCATGTTCACATATTTCGCTCCGTCATACATAAGTGGAGAGTTGAGAGAGTTGCCAGCTGAATTCAGTTTGGATTGAAAACTTTCCGACCAATTTTTATACACGTTTTCCGAAGGCATGGTAGAAATACCAGATATCAACATAGGCGAAAATTACAACAAAGTTGGCCATTTAAATTTTACAAATTTTTGACCAGAATTTTTGAGAGCAGCATCAGCGACTCCCAAGAAGCTTGTATGCGTGAGAATCAAAGCTAAGGGTCTTTCAGATCAATCTCCATCGACGTGAGATGACAACAAATGCTTTGATGGACAAAATAATAAGAGGTAACAAACATATTGGGGTAATTCAGGAACGTTGGACTGTACTCATTATAGCAGACCTGGAAACCGAAATCACTCTCCGCTTCCCGAACCGCATTACGGTTCTCCAGGCGGTAATCCAAACAATCGCAGAGGCTCTGAACTAATTTGTTATTAACTCAAGACCAACTGCTATGTTTATCCTAACGGACAGTTAATTCGCTAAAGGCCAACACGAGTATGAACAGACCAAAAAAATTCAGGAGCCGTAAAAAAGATCAAATTCTCCGAAAAAGCTCACATACTGCGGGATCAATGATCAGGGCCATCCAGGATCCATCGGAGTGAGATGACCTGGAGTGGTTTAATGTGAGCACCTACTTTGCGGTCATACATACAGTTTGACGTACTTGCTTCTAGACTGAAGTTGGATTTGCCAAAATTCAAGGATTTCGAATAGATATTGGCCATTTGGTGAACAATTAACCCGAAATCGGTTGGAGATATATATGAGAGCTATATCTAAATCTGAACCGATTTTGATACAACATCGCAGAGGTATTTCTGGGCTGTATCTGATATCTGGTACCAAATATCATTATTATCGAATGTCAGGCAGTTAAACCCCAAATCAGATATGGGAGCTATAGCTATATCTGAATTCGGTTGGATTTACCAAAATTCAGAATTTTCAGAATAAACCCGAAATCGGTTGAAGATATAAATGGGAGCTATATCTAAATTTGCCGATTCTCAGCAATTTGAATAGGAAATATAGTTTGGAAAATTTCACCTCAATCGAATAATAAATGCGACCTGCATCACAGACAGATGGACGGACTAACATGTATAAATCGGCTCAGAAAGTGATTCTAGGAAGATCTGCAAAAGTAACAATAGGTCTATTCCGCTTCCTTCTTCCCGTTACAAACAAATGCACAAAAACATAATACCACTATGTGGTGAAGGGTATAAAAACCTGACACTGTCAACTCCGACCATTTTGTCCCGTGGAAAATCCCCAAAACGGCAACTCTGCTCAAGTGGCTAATGTTGGTTTTTCTTCAGAAAGAAAAACAAAACGCAATAACTCTCTGCATAAGTGCTTCTCTCTCTCTCTTTAGGGTTTTTATTTATTTTTTTTTTTCGTTTAAGTTCCACAACAGCACTTTGTTGTTATTGATGGAATGCCCTCAGTTCCGTTCGCTCCCCCTTTTCAAACTTTTCGCATTGATATTGAAGTAATGTTGTTGTTTGAACTGTTATCACTGGCGCTATGATGTCGCCGTCAGCAACGCATACGCCGCCGTTGGCCTCTGCTCTAGACACAACAACAGCAGCAAACAAACGATCGAAACGCTGAGACAGTGGGCGCAAATAGCAGTTATTCTAGTGGTGACGGTGACTTAGTTATGATAACCCACGAGCCAGCCAATTGGCCTACCATCCGATCGACGACCGACTAACCGATCAATCGTCGTTCACACGGCACACAAACAATTTGTCTTGTCAAAGAAATGTTTGTAAACATTTGTGCGGAGGCACACACACACGCGCCAAGCTACTTTGCGTAGCATTTCGTTGTCGGCGGATTTATGTTGCGCCGACGACTATTGTCTTTACGTGATGTGGTTCGTTGTACCAAATATGGTGTTGTAACGACGACAGTTGTATGACAGCCCGGGTGCCCTACAACTCACCTGTCTGTGGGGTTAGGCGCCAGAGAGACTTTGCAACGCCTACGTACATGTCATGCCGTGCCATATATTCCGTGGGTAATAAGGAAATCCATTTAGGGAAACAGGTCAGAAAAAACTTTTTCAAGGGGGCCATGACAGAGCAGGGCAGGGCGATTGTAAAACAATTCTAATGTTGGTTGTCAATCAATAAAAGGGTTCAAAAAGTGCCGACTAAACAATCTTCGTATAGCCCCTATACGACCGTAACAATATTCGGTATTGTTATGTTTTTAGAGACATTATGGACCGGAATTGTTTCAAATTTCGTGAATGGTACTACCGTGAAACGTGGCTTTTTTTAAAGAATATTTTTTCAAGGACCAAGAAACGTGGATTTTTTAGAGAATATTTTTTCAAGGACCAAGAAATGTGGATTTTTTAAAGAATATTTTTTCAAGGACCAAGAAACGTGGATTTTTTTAAAGAATACTTTTTCAAGGACCAAGAAACGTGGATTTTTTAAAGAATATTTTTTCAAGGACCAAGAAACGTGGATTTTTAAAGAATATTTTTTCAAGGACCAAGAAACGTGGATTTTTTAAAGAATATTTTTTCAAGGACCAAGAAACGTAGATTTTTTAAAGAATATTTTTTCAAGGACAAAGAAACGTGGATTTTTTAAAGAATATTTTTTCAAGGACCAATAAACGTGGATTTTTTAAAGAATATTTTTTCAAGGACCAAGAAACGTGGATTTTTTAAAGAATATTTTTTCAAGGACCAAGAAACGTGGTTTTTTTAAAGAATATTTTTTCAAGGACCAAGAAACGTGGTTTTTTTTAAAGAATATTTTTTCAAGGACCAAGAAACGTGGATTTTTTAAAGAATATTTTTTCAAGGACCACGAAACGTGGATTTTTTAAAGAATATTTTTTCAAGGACCAAGAAACGTGGATTTTTTAAAGAATATTTTTTCAAGGACCAAGAAACGTGGATTTTTTAAAGAATATTTTTTCAAGGACCAAGAAACGTGAA